TGCATAGAGCTTATACTTAGATCTTGCTTTATGAGCCAAATTGAAAATCTTTTTCATTTAATACATGAGTTAAGCTCACTCATATTTATTGATACCACTGATATTAGTCTTTTCTCTGTCATATTGTTTTATATTATAATTTTTATGTGTACAATTTTTTTAAAGTTTTTTTTTTTCATTTTTATTTATTCATGAGAGACAGAGCGAGAGAGAGGCAGAGGGAGAAGCAGGCTCCCAAGGAGCAGGGAGCCCAATGTGGGACTTGATCCCAGGACCCTGGAATCATGATCTGAGCCGAGGGCGCCTGGGTGGCTCAGATGGTTAAGCGTCTGCCTTCGGCTCAGGTCATGATTCCAGGGTCCTGGGATCAAGTCCCACATTGGGCTCCCTGCTCCTTGGGAGCCTGCTTCTCCCTCTGCCTCTCTCTCGCTCTCTCTGTCTCTCATGAATAAAAAAAATAAAAAATCTTAAAAAAAAAAAAGAAATGATCTGAGCCGAAAGCAGATGCTTAACCATCTGAGCCACCCAGGCGCCCTATGTGTACAATGTTAATCTGTGTTTCTTTCTTTATGTATTGTGTTTGATTTTTATTTCTTACATTTCTTTGGATATTTTCTTAATGCTCCTAGTCCCTGCTTTCTTATTTAACCTTCTATTCTCTGGTTTGTCTGTTTTTAATGGTATATTTTACTCTTCCATCATTTCAATTATCAATGAGTTTATTCTGCTTTCTTCTTTCCCTTTCCATTTCTTAAACATATTTTTAATTGCATTATTTTCTACACTGTCAGCACTTCTAACGTTTATGTTATTCTTCCACCCTTCTCCTCACCTTTGCTATAGTCTTCAATTAAATATATTAAATGCTTACTGTAAATCTCTTCCTGAAGTTTTCTCAGTCAGCTCTTGGTTGGGTGAAAGTTATTGCCTTGTAGATTCTTTGAGAAGGTTCATGAATACAGTATTCCTGGAGATCCTGCATATTTCCAATTGTATCTGTCTATAACTTTGCGACTTGAAGGACATCTTGGTTGAGTGTAAAATCCTGGCTTTCACTTTCTTCTCTTGAATTTCTTCAAAAGGCTGCTATATTTTTATGTTGCATGGTGTGTTCTCTTGACAAATTTGTTGTCACTCTCATTCTCCTACACTTCAATTTAGTCTTTATGCCTGCAGGCTACGAGAGTATTTTCTTTGATAGTTTTATTCAAATACATCTTTGAGTTGATTGTTCTGATTCAGTTTTCCCAACTACTGATGGGCCTTTTCAATATGTATACTCCGATCTTATTTTGTTGCCAGAAAAATTTCATAGTTTATAGTTTAAACTATTGGTTCTGTTCCACTGTTTTGTTTTCTTCAGAGACTCTAGTTGGGTCTCTGAACATGTTGGGTCTTCTTTGCCTGTCTTCCATTTCAACCACTTTCTCTCTAAACTCTCCTACTTTTTTTCTCATTTTTATTCTCTTAATTGTTGTTCTGCCTTTTTAAAATTCTACTTATTAAATTTTCATTGGCATCTTGTGTTTTTTTAGCCTTTATCTGTGAAATGATTTTGTCTTTTTCTTTTGTTTCTTTCCTGAGTTCAATCAACTGTCTTTTTTTCTTCCTTCCTTCCTTCCTTTCTTCCTTTCTTCCTTCCTTCCCTCCCTCCCTTCCTTCCTTCTTCCTTTTCACTTCTATTCTTATTTGAATTTCCGATTCAAAATGGCTTTTCATGGGGTACCTGGGTGGCTCAGTCAGTTAAGCTCTGCCTTCAGCTCAGGTCATAATCCTGGGGTCCTGTGATTGAGCCCCAGGGAGCCTGCTTCCTCTCCCCCTGCTCCCCACCCCACTCATGATTTCTCTTCCTATCTCTCTCTCTCAAATAAATAAAATCTTTTTTAAAAAGTACTTTTCATATCTCCAGGGGAATGTTAGAAGATATTTAAATTAGTTTGGAGTGTTGTGTTAGTTTTCTTCTGCTTCACTGTTAGGGTTTTTTTGTTTTTGTTTTTGTTTTTTTTGGCGTGATTTTCATCAGCGAAAATGTCCAATTCTCATTTCTGTTTTCTTCCAATAATAGGTTTGTATGGAGACTGCTTTTCTCTATTTTATTTCCTGGGCAGGTTTTGTCTTGTAATAATTGACAGTAATCCTAGCTCAAGAGAGTTCTTTTCTGTCACTGTACCAAAGTTCAGTTTCTTTAATGAGTAGCACTTTTTTTTTTTTTTTTTAATTAGTGGTGAAGAGATTTGCATGTCCTTCAGTTTTGGGGTTCTCTTTTGTCTTGCAGGGGCACAAGTTTATCCTTCTTGCTTCTTTTTCCCTTTACTATCCAGTCTCTGACAGAGATTGATAAGCCTCTCCCTTCCCTCTTGCCCAAGAGTAGTGTCACACTGACTGATATCCCCTCAGTATCCATGACTTTTAGGTCCCTTCCCTGGGGCAAATACTCTGATCTACCAGGACACACTTAATATTTTTGCACTTGTGATGTATTTTCTCTTCAGGGGATGGAGGGGGGACGATTTTAAGTCTATCTTAGGCTCTTCGTTTCCTCTTCTCTCTTCACAGTTTTTCCAGATCCCACCCCATTCCTGTATTTGCTCTCTGCAAAGGCTTATAGTGGGACCTTAAGAGATATCTCTTCCAGAATTTGGAGTTTACTTTTCTACTTAAGTTTGTAAATTCCTCTGTCTTCCTGTTATTTTGGAAGCATTACATTTATGTGGTTTTATTCTGGTTGATTTCTACAGCTTCGAGAAAGCTATGTGAGGAGATTTGATTTAGATAGCCACCATTATCCTCAGCTATCTCAAAGTTCTCCACCATATACGTCTTCACAAGCCATTTAGGTGTAATGTGGAGCAGGTTTGAGAACTTTGGGTAGGGGTAGAGGATAGGAAAGAAGGCATTTAATTTAAAACAAACTGATTTTGAGATGATTCTATTTGTGTAGAGATAGTCATCAAACATAGTTGGTCTGTACCTCAGGTAAGATATTAGGAATTACTGCTTCTTACTCTGGTAGAGTAAGAATTCCTAGTAAGCTGGAATTAGAGCCATAAATCCCTTTGAGGAATTTCTGCCTTGGTCTAACTCCTGCCTGCATGCTCAGACTCATCTTCCATAAACATGTAAAGGCTTTAGAAAACAGATACTATTGAGAGGTTACCAGATAAAGTACTATTTTCTGGTGCTTTATTTTATCATATTCAGAAGTTTGGTTGATGTGACTGAGAGGTCTAAATATTAGTCTGAGAACTCAATCACTATTAAACCATTTGGGGAAAAAAAAAATCATAGATCAATAGATCAAATCATCTACCTAGAGGGAAATAAAATAATACTGACTTAAATACCATAATTAAGCTTTTTGGCATATTTGTAGTTTATTCCAGTAATCATAGGGCTTATCAAGCAGGTTAAATTCATAAATCCACAAAGATTTATACCAATAACTTTCTAAAGCAAATTCCTAGTATCTACTGTTTTCTTCCGTATCACCTATAACTAGGCTAAAGAACAAATGTATGCATGTTTGTATCTAAACACATTTAATCTAATCTAATAATAATATCTATGTAACAATTCAGTATAACTAATAGAGTTTTCAGAACATGATCTGTGATGAATTTTCCATGTTTTTAAAGTGTTTTTGCTTCCATTTTCTCCCTTTCATAAGAGAATAGAATCTCCAAAAAAATATATGTAGCATTGTAGAATAGTTTAGTAATAGTCATTTACCCAGGTAAACACTTTTCCCAGTTGTGTATTTCTATGGTGGCAAGAAAGTGTAGATGATTTCTTTCTCCATTGAGACAATCTGTGGATGGAAAAGATGTTAGTGAAGTAAAAAAAAAAAAAAAGAAAAGAAGGGTACTCATTTGAAACATGAGAAATTTATAAAGTGGTCAACTCTTTCACTTGACATTTTATTATTACTAAGGCCTGGATTTGCATTCTTTTGAATTAACTGAGAGGCAGTATAGCGTAGTGATTCAAATTGTGATCTCTGGAACCTGACTGCCTGGGTTCTAACTCCATACTAGCTTCATTTTGTCTCGGTTTTATCATCCACATAATTGGATAAAAATAGCACTTCATAAAATGGTTGTACACATAAGATGTGATTTTCATAGGACAATGTTACTTAAGTGCTAACTATTATCACTATTAGATTATATTAAGATTCTGCTGGATAAAGTGGGGTGGGATTTTTGAGACTTATTCGAATTTTTATATTTTTAATTCCTAGACTGATTTATTTAATAATGTTGGCCTTATTTGTTGTTTAATATGTAATCCCAATTACTATGAAATTCACAAGTGGGTGAGGCAGGACAGAAAAATTAAATATTTCCATGGAAATGAAGATAAAAGAAAGCATTCATGAAAAATTAGAGAGACCTGTCTTCTTTTTTGTGCTTTTTATTTTCTTTAGGAGCTAAGAATTTAAGGATCTGTTCCTTCATACATACAAAAGCTAAGAGCAATAAATGATGTGTCAGAAAGATGTCACTGTTTGTAATGGCAGCTTTATTCCACAGTCCACATCTACTCTTTCTTCTCTCCACCAGGTGGAAGTATAGCACTTTGTACGTGTCTTGTTCTCACTTCTTCCTAGTTCCCCTAGTCCAAGGGGTGAGGAGGGAAAAGATAAACACTGAATGCAAGAGTATTAAATGTTCCTTCAGCTGGATTTTACAGCACCATATTTTCATCATTTACTTGAGGATAATGAAAATAGACTAGATAATGTTCCTTTCCACAAATTCTTTAATTCAACTGAGGTAAAGGCAGATCCATTATAAGAAATATAAAAATCTTTGCAGTAGCTGGAAGAACCACATTAAGACAACTGAATTACCAAAATAATGTTCAAATATTTTTAAGTGTATTTAAAATTAATTGGTGGAAATAAATCTTTGGCATCCTGAGTAAATCGGTTTTATGTACGAGACTGTGAGAACATTGTCCTTGATCACTTGATTAAGCTGAGTCATCTTATTTTCCAGATGTAACATTGTGCTGCAAGTCAATCAATACAGTAATTTAAGTCCTTTCAACTATAATGGAAAAGTATGAAAAATTAGCTAAGATTGGAGAAGGGTCCTATGGGGTTGTATTCAAATGCAGAAACAAAACCTCTGGACAAGTGGTAGCTATTAAAAAATTTGTGGAATCTGAAGATGAACCAGTTGTTAAGAAAATAGCACTAAGAGAAATACGTATGTTGAAGGTAGGTTCACTTTCTCTGTATATCTATAACATCATGGTATTGGATGAAATATGTATGCCAACATTACAATTTGAATGAATTTTAAAGTGATTTTTTTTTTCTCATTGGACTTAATTTCTTGGTATCAGCAACTATGGAAAATAAATTATTACTTTGGACTTTTGGCAGTTCTGATATTGAAGTACTTCCATTCTGGTTGGTAAATATCCACTGTCCTAAGTCCTTCGGCCCAGTGTTTACCCACCCCCTCCCCTGCCTTGGCCTTGCTCTGCCTTACACCCCTCCCAAATCCTTCTCCCCACAAACCAGCAACTAAAAGAACATCTCCTGGCACAGGAGCCCACAGGACTGGACCCATGCCCCTGTAGGCATCGATATGGGGTAGTCCTTCCTGCTCTCCACTGGTTCTTAGGCATATTGAGTATTGCCCCAGCTATGTATACACATTTTCCACAAAGATTTTGTTACCTTTTTTTTTTTTTTAAATAAACTCTATGCCCAACGTGGGGCTTGAACTCAGGACCCAGAGATCAAATCACATGCTCACAGACTGAGCCAGCCAGACGTCCCTAAAGTTGTTTTTACTCTGAAAGGATTTGACATGTAAGATTCATAAGTCTTCAATGTAAGTGTTTTCCTATCCCAGAACTCTTCTGGTTTTAGAACCATAAAAGAACTTAGGGATGCTTCCCATCCAGCATCCTTATCTTATCAGAGAGGAAACTGAGGCACAGGACAGCACTTCTCAAACATTAATGTGCAGAATTAATGTGGGAATTCCCCAGGTGACTTTGCTAAAACACAAAATTCTGAGTCAAAGGTCGGTGGTCAGTCTGAGATGCAGCATTTCCAGTAAACTCCCCAGTGGTACTGACGGTGCTTGGTAGACCACACTTTGAGTAATAAAAGTGTGATTTCCTCAAGAACACATAGCTGACGTTTACTTTTTTTTTTTTTTTTGACGTTTACTTTTGACACGGGTCATCTTTTTTTAGGAAAACCCCAGAAATCAGTTTTAGAGGAATATAATAATTATCATATTATCTGTCCTTTCAGGTGTTATTTACAGCAGGTTTCCTCAAACTATTAATAGTTTAAAATATAAGTTAATACGCACGGAGTTTTCAAGATTACATCCTTCGTAAAAACCGGTTCACTGTTACCTCACAGCCGGCAGAAGGCGCTGGTTAGCCAGCCGGCTTTGTCACAGAGCTAAGCTTACAGGGTGTGTCGGAAAGGACTGCGAGTTGTTGTCTAATAAAAGTAATGCTTTTTATCCACCACCTCCCTCCTCCTCATGTCTGCAAGGAAGGTTAACGCTCAGGTAGTACCTCCTGGGTCACAATGCCCACATTTTAAGAATGGGCTTTCAGGTAAGAAGTAGCCAGATCCCACCTCAGCTTGGTGTCTGGGGATGGTTCTCATAATGTACTTCTTGCCAGCTTCGATATGTTGCCCTCCGCGCACCAGGAGCAGATTCCTTCCATGATAAACTTACCTTACCTTCTGCACATCCTCCTGTTACTTAAATGTGATTTGATTTTTGTCCTCCTTATTGCCTATGTTACTTATACAAGTCACTGTTTTTCTGAGCTAAGTTAATTTCCTTTGCAAAGGGGATATAAATTGCTTATCTACCCAAAGACAGATTCGACCAGGTTAGCTTCTATGAATCCCTTACTCTCCTGGTAAAGCCACTGTTTCCCTTCCATTGCATGGCTTTCAGTGTCGCACAAAGCTGGCTTACCTGTGTGGCCTGTTTCCTCCACTCTGCCTCTCTGCTCTTTCAGGCAATGGCAAATTGATTTTGTGCTTTAGACATATTTAGACGTATTTTTAATATGTAATAGAGTCCTTTTTCCCAAACTGTTGAGCACATAGTTGCAGGGTGATTTTTTTTTCCCCCTCAAACCATGCTTACAGATACTGAAGTAGAGGATGCTATCGCTATTGGGCCTGCAAAATATTTCTGCAGCTCCTGCTATATACAAAATCCTGTGTTCCCTCTATATAGGTATCTTTCTGAGTAAGTGGCATAGGGTTTGAAAAGTGATGTATCTAATATACTGGGAAAACAGGGAAGATGAGTTATATGTAAGTGGGAGTGATCAGATATCCTGGTTTATAGCTTTTGTCCCGGAGTCCAGTCTGGTTAGCACCCTCTTTCAAAAGCATCCTGGTTTGCGTGCTTAATTATATGGTCACCCTAGTTATAGGCAGGGAAACCGTATCTGCCTGTTTTCCTGGGACAGTCTTGTCTTATACTCCTTACCCTGATAGGATGATAAATTATATAGTTACTCTATGATGGGTTATCTTACTTAATTAGAATTTTTCCTCTGGTTTACAACATTAAACAGAGGCTGCCTTGTGAAATGCTCCAGCTTGAGATAGAATTTAACACGTAAAACATCTAAGCATAAGAGAAAACAATAGAATCAAAGAACAGAGCTGAAAACATGATAAATTAAAAACACACTGTGGGGACTCCTACAATAGGAAGTTTAATCAGATTTGAAATTTGGGCTCTAGAATTTCTGAGAGCCAACACTAAAATTCAGACTGCGTTTAAATCTAGCTGACATTGGGGCACCTGGGTGGCTTAGTCGTTAAGTGTCTGCCTTCGGCTCAGGTCATGATCCCGGGGTCCTGGGATCGAGTCCCGCATCAGGCTCCCTGCTCCATGGGAAGCCTGCTTCTCCCTCTCTCACTTCCCCTGCTTGTGTTCCCTCTCTCACTGTGTCTTTCTCTGTCAAATAAATAAATAAAATCTTTTAAAAAATAAATAATCTAGCTGACATTTATATTAAATCCATGGCAATATGCAAGCTAAATGGGGATTGATAATTTTTATAACCTTTTACTCAATAATTCCATCTCCTCTGTCTTTTATCCAGGGTCCTTTATGACTTGGATATTTAGAATTTTCACAAAATCCATAAAGTATTTATGGTATCAGTGTCCAATATTTTATGTTGTGTACTTTATTTGCTATCTCTGGGGAGATTCAGGCAGTTTAATTACCATCTGTTACAGGTACTTTAGAAGAAGAAGAAAAATGTCTTCTTTTTTTCTTCAACCTTAAAGTAGTTTCTCTTGTGAGTAACCTTAATAAAATTATCCACAAGAGATGCACAGAGAATAATAAACAAGGCCTTCTGTTTAAATTGTGAGGGATCTGGGGAGAAACAAATAACCGAACTTTGATTTCAATTCCTTTGCAGCAATTAAAACACCCAAACCTTGTGAACCTCATTGAGGTATTCAGGAGAAAAAGGAAAATGCATTTAGTTTTTGAATACTGTGATCACACACTTTTAAACGAGCTGGAAAGAAACCCCAAAGGGTAAGTAATCTGGAAACTGAGGCTCTGTATGGCCATTCAGTTTCATTATATGTGGGATTAATTGTGGCAAATTTCAGATCTGAAACACACTCCTCTTTCTGCCAAGATGCATCTGCTGGCTACCCTTCTCGCATCTTAGTTAGGATGTGCTCAGACAGAAATAAATATTAACCTAGAGTAAAAATATTTAGGAAGACAAATCAACAGCAAATATAAATCACAGTGCATTTCAAGGCTAACTTATGTACAGGCAAACCTTGGAGATATTGCAGATTTAGTTCCAGATCACTGCAATAAAGCAAATATTGCAATAAAGTGAGTCAAATGAATTTTTTGGTTTCCTAGTGCATGTAAAAGGTATGTTTACACTATATTGTAGTCTATTAAGTGTACGACAGCATTATGTCTAAAAAACAATTGTACATACCTTAATTTTAAAATATCATATTGCTCTAAAAATGCTATCACCTGAACTTTCAGCAAGTCGTAATCGCTGATTGCAGATCAGCATAAAATATAATAATAATGAAAAAGTTTGAAATATGAGAATTACCAAACACAGAAACTCAGGTGAGCAAATGCTATTGGAAAAATGGCGCGAGTAGACTTGCTCCACATGGGGTTTCCACAAACTTCCAGTTTGTAAAAAACACAATGTCTGTGAAATGTAAAGCAAAGCACAATAAAGCAGAGGGCAATAAAATAAGGTATGCCCTCTGAATTCAAGGAATGAACCATGGTTCAATATTAGAATTCATAAAATTCACTAACAGGTTAAAGGAGAAAAAAAAATACATGTGGTTGATAAAATTTGGAAAGGCAGTTGATAAATTCAATGTCCTTTCCTGATTATTAAAAAAAAACAAAACACCTTAGCAAACTAGGATTAAGATACCTCTGTAGCACGCACCACACACCCACCCACCCACCCACCCACCCCTCTTCAAATCAACAGCTAACTTTATACTCCATGCTAGAGGAACCACTGTTAAAATGAGAAACAAGGAAGTCAGTTGTCACCACTACAATGTAACATTGTTCTGAGAGCTCTAGCCAATGTAAACAAATAGAATATATAACTTTGGAAGCAAGATTAAATCATCTTTATCTGGATGATAGTATTCTACAAAATCTAAGAGAATTGCCTAAAGAGTCATTATAACCAGTGGAATTCAGTATAATGACTACAGCCCTCCAAACTCCACACACAAAAATTAACAGCTCTTGTATCAGTCAGCACTCCAGAAAATCTAGTGGAGAGGATCTCATTCAAATACTAACAACAAAGAAGTTTAGAAATAAAGATAAAAAGAATTGTTCAGACGCTACATAAAGACAACTTACAAACCTTAACTGAGGTACATAAATGATATTTTTTAAATGAACATATATTTCTGAGTGGAAATATTCATTATTATAAAGATACTGCTCCAGTTTATTTATTTATTGCTCAAAAATCTAATCAGAATGCCAATGGGATTTTTTTAACTTGAAAATCAAGTTATCTAAATCAATAAATTTTTTTTAAAAGAAAAGGGACTTTTTAACTGCCAAATATTAAATCAATTAGTTTTAGAGATTCCCTTTGACAAAAAGTACCATAAACAAAACTAAAAAAGAAGTGGTAAGTTAGGTAATTTGTTTGCCAGATGAAGAATTAATATCATTTCATTTGCAGATTTTGCAAATCAAATGTTTTGAAAGATTAACACCCAGTTAGAAAATATATTCATTTGGGGCACCTGGGTGGCTCAGTCGTTAAGTGTCTGCCTTCAGCTCCGGTCATGATCCCAGGGTTCTGGGATCGAGCCCCACATCGGGCTCCCTGCTCAGCGGGAAGCCTGCTTCTCCCTCTCCCTCTGCTTGTGTTCCCTCTCTCGCTGTGTCTCTCTCTGTCAAATAAATAAATAAAATCTTTAAAAATATATATATAGGGGCGCCTGGGTGGCTCAGTTGGTTAAGCCACTGCCTTCGGCTCAGGTCATGATCCTGGAGTCCCGGGATCGAGTCCCATATCGGGCTCCCTGCTCAGCAAGGAGTCTGCTTCTCCCTCTAACCCTCCCCTCTCTCATGCTCTCTCTCTCTCATTCTCTCTCTCTCTCAAATAAATAAATAAAATATTAAATATATATATATATATTCCTTCAAAAAAAGTTGAGTAGAATCCTGCTGTTGTTCCAGCTGGGTGCTAAGGATATAGCAGTAAACAAAACATACAAAAAAGTTGCCTAACTTTATGGAACTTACATGCAATTCCTACATGAAAAAGCAAATCATAAAAAAGAGGAGGGAAATGACAAATACACCTCGGAGAATATGTTTATCCTCCCTATTAATTAGAAAAATTCAAAAATTTAAGATAAGGTACCATTTCTTGCCTATCAAATTGGGCAAAGAATTTTGAAAAACCAAAATTCCTAGCATTGTTAAAGTTGGGAATCAGGCACCCTCATTCACAGCTGGAGAGAGTATATAATTAGAATGGAAATTTAGCAGTATGTATGAAAATTCTTTAAGTGGTTTTAATCCTTTGACCAAGACATTCCATTTAGAGAAATTTATAATAATCAGGTGCAAAAAGTTATACATAACAATGTTCAACACATCATTATTTACAACAACAACAAAATATTGGGACTGATCTAATTTTCCAATAGTAAAGATTTGACTCAATGCACTTTGCTATATGCATACAATGGAACACTATGTATCCAACCCATTAAAAAGGAAGCTGTAGAATAATTCATGCCCTGGGGACATGTTCATGAAATGGTATGTGAAAAAAATGAAGTTAGAAAGTAGTATGTTCAGTGTAATTGAAATTTATTTTGAATTTATCCCAATATCCCAGCAAATGCACATATTTTACTTTTAAAATAAAAATTTAAAAACCAGTTTACATGATAAATTAATTCATAGTTCAGCTTTATTATGAGTTAAATAGGATTTGTATTGGTTTAGAGGACAGATTGTTCAGCCATCCTGTAAGTTAATTTATAAATTAATGTACATTTTCATAAAGTTAGAAATGTAAACTTCATGTATTGTTCAAGGCCCTGAAAATAAAATATACAATACATACAATACACATACCTGTTTAACTGAACTAACCATCTTTCTCTTCCTTCTATGTACCATAAGCCTTCCTGCCTGTGGAACTTAGCTGATGCTCTTCCTTTAACCTGGAATATTCTAACTTACTCCATTTTCCCTATCTCTATCAGCATCTTGACAATTGGAAATCCTAGGGGTACCTGGCTGGCTTAGTTGGTAGAGCATGTGACTCTTGATCTGGGGGTTGTAAGTTCGAGCCCCGTGTTGGGTGTAGAGATTACTTAAAAATAAAATCTTTAGGGGCACCTGGGTGGCTCCGTCGTTAAGCGTCTGCCTTCAGCTCAGGTCATAATCCCAGGGTCCTGGGATCGAGCCCCGCATCGGGCTCCCTGCTCCACGGGGAAGCCTGCTTCTCCCTCTCCCACTCCCCCTGCTTGTGTTCCCTCTCTCGCTGTCTCTATCTCTGTCAAATAAACAAACAAATTCTTTAAAAAAATAAAATAAAATCTTTTAAAAATAAATAAAATGGGAAATCCTAGATATTCTCAACATCTCAGAGATTCCTCCACCTGGGTAGAATTGCTTCCCTCCTTTGCACAGCCACAGAGTTTGATTTTTATCCCTGTTATGGTACTTGGTACTTCTGCCTTATGTGTTTTTATGTGCATTCTCTCTCTTACTGGACTGTAAGTATTTTGAGTGCAGAATTCATATCTAATTCATCTTAATAGCTTCCTCAGTGTACAGCATTCTTTCATTCACTTCAGGAGTATTTTATTGAGTACTTCTGCTGGTGCAGAGGGTACAAAGATATAGTGGCACAATCCTGCCTTCAAGAAGCTTAAAATCGAATGAAGAGACAGACATTCAGAGTAGCAGTTACAGATGGCAATTCTGATTGGGTTAATGTTGGTACGACTGCAACATCTGCCAGTCCTAGAGAATCAGGGAAGGAAGGGTTTAGGCTGAGACTTTACAAAGGGAAGAGTTGGCCGAATGGACAATCTTGGAGGAATGTGCAGAAAGAAGGAGCAAAGCATATACAGGCAGCCTCTCATTCAGTATGTATTTAGCAACCACAAGGATCTAAGTTGTTTTTTTGTTTTTGTTTTTGTTTTTAAGTAATCCCTATACCCAACATGGGGCTCAAACTCATGACCCTGAGATCGAGTCTCACACTCTTCCAACTGAGCCAGCCAGGTGCCCCCACAGGGATTGCTGAACTACCTACTTTCCACTCTTTTAAGTCTTGTAAATGTATTTAGCAATGCCAGTGTATACACGGGCTTTGGGTCCACCCTGAGACTTGGATCTACATAGGGGAATGCAACTAGGAACAGTGCAAAACACGCCAGTCTTTTTATGAAATGCTGGGTGCTTCCACATAACAGTGATTAATTTAAAACACCCATCTACCTTCACTCCCTTCCTAAAACCTACTTAAATAACAGCCAAGAGAATGTAAAACCAGCGAATAGCAAACAGAGGTAAACAACCAGACCGCATACATACCAACCCTATTTGAGCCATTGTTTATTAGGGTAAATTCAGTTTGGAGAATTAACTGGTGTGTGGATATGAGGCAATCAACAGAGGGGACGTGTGGGTGAGCTGTGGGATGGTGAGCTGATGATCAAGAGACCCGAGGACTAACTTATATCATTAAGAAGAGCTGATTTCACACTAAGATGGTGAAAGTGTACTGCTTCCTCTGCCAGATGAAGCCTTTGGTGTCCTCTACATTTTGGATAGGGAAAAAAGCACTTGTCAGATCAACAGCTGCATCCATACTGAGTACTGAGACTGTGTTGGATTTGCTCAAGAAACTACATGTATGTGACGCAGCCAAAATTGGCATCACCTGATTAAGCTTAAAACGATCTATTCTCCTTTCTCTCAGACCCTTCTGTGTTCTACACTAAATACAATGGATAAGTTCATTGGTA